GGAAAAAACCTCAGCAGTGGGTTAGAAAAGGCAGGAACAAAGCACAGCAGCAGCATATGAATAGTCAGTGGTATGAATTGTCCAGAAGGTAACCTCTAATATCAGTGGGACAGAAGTTTAAGGGGAAAAAAAAGTGTAAAACAGAGTATAAAAGAGGCAAAATCCAGTAGAGTTAGGGAGAAACTTTTTGAGGAAAGCAAATAAGAAAAAGAAAACTGGTTGCTGCAGTCCCACACACACAGTTGAAGTGTCTAACAGACTTCTGTCAAGCCCTAGGAGCAGACCTCATATCAACTAAACATTTCCAAACTGACTGGCTGGAAAACTGTAGGATTTGAGATGAAGTAGATGGATTCACAGCACAGAACTTCTCTGCCACAGAAACATCCCCGGAGAAGCAGGATGGCAGGAGCTCTGTTCTGCATCTTCCCACATCCACACCGGCACTCCTCATCTGAGCACCATGGGCTTCTCTCTCCACTGATGCTTCTTAGTCCAAGCCGTGAGTTTGGAATCCCAGAAACCTTCCCATACTTGGGGATTTCCAAATATGTCCAACCACATTTCAGGGTTTAAAAAAAAAAAAAATAAAAAAAGCTTGAATGGGAAAAGGAGGATATCCACTTCCAGGCATCATTTTAGACAGGTGTCTTAGCAAAAGAAAATTAGATGGGATAAAGGGATTTCAGGGGGATCAATAATGCCATGACAGCTGTACGTTGCTCGGTGATAAGGAACTTTACCTGAGATCAGTTAAATGGCTGTAAAAGACACTCCTGCACACTTTCTCTCTGTGTCAGATAATGGGTTAGGATCATTAATTTATTCCTGCATGCTCAGAGGTGCAGTGGGATAGCAGTACCTGAGTGCCACGATGCTCCAACAGAGAACATCTGGCTATTTAGTTTGCAAAGTTCATTAAAGTGGCTTTATTTTTTAATGTGAGAAGTGTTTAGATTTCCTTTTGACAAGTGCAGCATTGGCAACTGGGAGGAAAAAATGTGGAAATAACTCACGTGACTACTAACAAAAGAAACAACTTCCAAACACAATGGTCTCCACGGTGTAATTTACAACAGCTTGGCTTTTTGTTTGGTATATTTTTAATCTTTACATAACAAATGTCACTGGTATCTTGACCGCAGTACCTTAAGCACAACTTAAATGGAACAACCCAGGTGTTTAAGGGAAAATACAGTTCTGCCTGGAACAGGTTAACAGAAGCAAATAAGAGCCTCGGTTCTGCAAGCGCCCCCCCAAATATATATTTAATACAAGGACAATTTCAGAGATCTCTTAAATGAAAGACATAATAAAAACATATACATAAAAAAATACAACTTTGGTTCAAGCACCTTCCTCAATGAGTTTCGCACTCAAGCTGCAAGACAGGACTAAGCTGAAGGATCTCCCAGAAGTTCCAGTGTAGCAGGAATTCAGCACGTTGCTGACTTCAGGTTTCATTCAGTGTTATCACAAAAGCGTGTTGTGATAACAAAAGTCACTACAAATGGTTACAGGCAAATGTGTTCACTTCCCTTTTGTGTTTTACTCTTCTTCCCTCCTAAGGATGCAAGAGGTGCTTGGTAAAGTGGGAGACTGCTGGGGATTTATGGGAAAAACAGATTGACTTCAGCCACTGTTGTGTTCTTTACCTTGGTCTGGAGCGGCTTTTTGGGAATTTATTCACGGAGTTTTCCACTCCTGTGAAGGTCACCCAATAAGCTGCGTGTGTGAGGTCTTCTTGAAGGGCAGCAAAAACTCAAATAAATAAATCCAAATAAATACCCCACTCTACCCCAACCGTAGTTCAGGAACATGCCTGATGAGTCATTCCTTTCTAAATGCAATTAAAAATAATTCTAAACATAGAGCGGACAAAACACAGAGGAAGACAGTAAAACAACTGTAGTAGTCAATTTTTTAATGAGTGATTTCTGCCTACTAATTCAGGATATTACACTGTCATGTCTCTTCCTCATGTAAAATGAATAACCCTGCGAGAAGTCAATTCAGAACGCTCCAGAGAGCGCTGGATGTGCAGCCACCAAAAAAACTCATGTTTCCCAGATCCTGAGGAATGATCCAAAGCTCTCCAACAAGGAGGATCATGGCAGGGAGCTGTCACTGCTCGGAAGGATCCTGCCTAACTGGTTCCAGTAAGCACATGGAATAAGTTATATGCAAAGGCAGCTTTGGTGAGGATCCTCAGTGCTTGGGGTCTTCATCCCCAACCCTTTCCTCTGCTACCTGGAACTTCTTTTCCATACCCAACACTCTTCACCTGTCCTGCTGATACTGCTGATCACACCTACCGAAGGTTGCAATAAACTGGAGAGATTTTTTTGCTTCTGGCTTCCAGCAGGGAAGGGAACAGGAAGTGCCAAAATACGTGGGGGTGAGGGGGCAGCTGTTCTTGTGCCATTTCCAGCCGGGGTCAGAAGCAAACCCACACAAAAGACCTTTTTGCTGAAGCTGCCCAGCCCAAACTTCCGGCATGTAAGGGCACTGACAAGTTTAAATATTCCCCCAAACTCTCAGATGTCTGTCCCAACTCCAGGCCCGGGGGATTTCCTCATCAACGGTACTACCAGTGAAAATAGAAGAGAGGGGGAAAAGAAAAAAGAGCAGGATGGGATTTATATTTGGATTTATGTTTGAGTACATACACACTATGCTAATCTGATTACTCACCGGGAATCCTTCTTTACAACAGCTTTTCCTTGATTAATCTTTTTTTCTTTATTAATAATCACCATAACATTACAGCCTTAGCAGAAAAGAGCAAGCTGAACACACCAGCACCGCATCCCTCCATTTCTGCCTCTCCCCCATTTTCAGGAGGCACGAACCCCACGGACACCCAGCAGCTCGGCCTTGCCAGGTCGAGAACGCCCAACAACTCCCGCGCCCAACTTCACCATTGCAAATGTAAATTAATGCAGCAGCCGCCGCAAAAGCCGAAGCTCTCTCCTTACTCGGGGAAGCGAGACGCGAGCGGAAAAGTGCGTTGCATGCAGCAAAGAGCCTCCTGGAAATTGCTGCATTACGTTAATTAAGATTTTATTCATGCCTTTGGCCCCGCTGTGCCACCGCGGTGATGCAGCACGACACGCGCGGCGCTGCACCACCGGGAACTCGCACACGCGTGTGCACACGCTCTCCGCCCTGCGTGTGGCTGCGCGGGCACACCTGCACAGGTGCCGCCTGGGACGATTTCGAGGCGGAGATAGGATTTTGGGTTATTTTACCGACTTTTTATTGTTATTATTGAATAGAATAGAAACCATCCATCCATCGCTCCATCATCCACCTGCCCTCCGACGCGCTTCGGGGCCGCTCGCATCCCTGTGTCCCGCCCTTCCCCGCGGGCTCCGTGCCCCCCCCCCGCCCTCTCTCTCTCTCCAGGGGGGTGGATCCCGCGGGCCGCCCCCCAGCCCCGCGGCGGGGATCCCCCCCGGCCCCGCCGCCCGCGCAGGGGAGCACCCACCTGGCGAAGGCGCGGCGGGCCGGCGGGGGGGCGAGGGGCCGCCTCCCGGCGCGGGGGGCGCGGGCGAAGCCATCTTCGGCTCCTTCCCGCCGCCGCCCGCCTCCTCTCAGCCCCCCGCGGCCGCCACCATGCCGGGGACCCGCGGGTGACCTTCCCGGGGGCGGCCGCCGCCGCCGCCGCTGCTGCAGCGCGGGTGGGTGGGTGTGCGGTGGGTGGGTGGGTGCGGGAGGCAGCGGCCGCGCTGCCGATGAGCTCACACGGACAGATCGGCGGCTGCCGGCGGGCGGCGCGGGCGGAGGACCCGCCTCGTCCTCCCCCGCACACGCACACACACACACGGTACATCCCACCCGTGCTCGCACACCCCTCCTTCTTCCTTCACGCCTGGCCGCGACCCCTCCACACGCACACACCCCACGCGTGTGCCCTCAGCCGGAGCATCCCCTGCTGCTGCTGCTGCTGAACCCGCGGGGGGTTTTTGTTTTCACACCTTCCCCTGCGGCTCCAAGTGTCAAAATACAGGGGTAAACCCGCGGCTTAGGGATGTAGAGAAACAAGGGATGTTTCCAGGTGCGATTATCCTTATATCCCACTCTGTGCTCACACCCACACGCGGGGGTTTCAGTCCCTGAGCGCCTTCTGGCCATTGCCTGGGTGGAACACGGTTCTTCCCTGCTGCCTACATTCAGATATGTTAGGGTCACGGGGAACCCTATACTCAGAGAGCCTGATCTCCCGTGTAAGACAGGAATTTCTGGGAATACAGTTTCCCTCAGAAACAAAGCCCAAACAGCTGGTGGAGCTACAATAAACACAGCAGAAAGGTGCTTTGAAAGCGCTGAGTTAAAATGAATCCATTCCATTCCCAGGCAAGGGGTTCCCATGCTTAATGACACTAATTTAGCTCAATTTTAGCCACAGGAGCTCACTACACCACTCCCTGCCTTCCTGCCCAAGGAAACCTTCACTCACTCCTGTTTTAAGTGTGGCACCATCTCACAAATCTTCACCAAAATCCCTGTCTCCTTACACAGCGATCTGCTATTAAAACAAATGACCCCCTTATTCAGCAGAGAACGAGTTTGCTGCTTCACTCGAATTCCCTTCCAAAAATAGTTCTGTTCTTTAACACGAGGTGTAGCAAAGCCGTTAATCAACATTATTCCTCTGCAAAATTCCGACTGATGCCCTGCCCTGGACTCCAGAGCCTGTCCCAGTCCGTGTCATGCCATCAGCCCTCCCCGCATCCAAGTGCCATGAGCTAAAAGCAGCCTCGGGAAGCACACGCTGCAAAGTCACCAGAGTTCCTAGTGCATTAGGGAGATGCTAAATTTAGCCTACCTGCTAATTAATTTAGAAACTACTTAGTTGCGTTTGCGCCGGGATTTAGCCAATACCTTTAGCCCCACCTCCAGCTCCGTGTCCCTGCATCCCTCCCTCCCCTGCTGACGCTTTTGGCAGCTTTTTGGAACACCTGGCATGTCTTTTGCTGAACAAGAGCCACCGGCTGTTTGATGGGAAAGCACCGTTATTCCTCACTTGTGGAACACTACAGGTGTAGAGGATGTTTTTCCAAACCCGTACAACAGAGAGCTTTCATCCTGCTCCCTTCTATTTGTTCCAGTGCCACTCTCCATGTCCTGGTACTTCCAGGAGGAACATCTGTCCAGGTCACCTCTGTCACACAAGGGCATGTCCCTTCCTTGGATCCCACCACCGTGCCTTGTGCACAACCAATAGGTTTATTCCTGGGAAGTACCAGCACAATTCCAGCCTGCTGCAGGCTGGCAACACAGCTCAGGAACTCCAGGGCCACAGATAGACTGGATGGATCTGGATGAGGAGGAGGGCTGAGAAAGAATAACAACTGATAGCAGGTTGTGGGAAATGGAGATTTAGTCATTGAGAAGGCTGGATCAGACGGAATCAGTGGAAAACTAAGACCCAGGTGAGAGGGAAACAGTGCTCTGGCCATGAGCAAGTCTTCCATATTTAAAGGTGATATTGGAGCGGGGCTCCCAGGAAACCTTGGGATGCTGTTCCTGCTCACATTTAGAATGAGGTTTCCCTCCTGTTTTCTTGCAAATCTATTTTACCATTTATCTCCAAAATAATGAGGCTTTTTCACTCCTTTCTTACCTCCCAAGCCTCTGCCAGGTGAAGGGCTTCCCTCACTTCTGGTGCCCAGGCACAGCCCATTCCAAGAGTGGAGCTGCTGAAGGAAATCAAGGACATAATAAAATTCCCAGGGATTCCTAGGACGCTAAGCTAGTACAGAGAAGCTCCAGCTCTGAATGGCCTCAACAGGAGCAGACTATCTCCTCTCCTGTCCCCACTGAGGCTGCTGGAATGCCGTGTGTCCAAGCCCTGCTTGGAGCTCTGTGCCAGCAGGAGCTGCGGATGGTGCTGGAAGAGGAGTGCAAAGAGAAGCAGAAGGGAAAAATCTGTCTGAAAATGAGATGCAGTGCAGAGTGGCTGCAATTCTCAGGACTGCCTAAGGGACTTGGATGACAAATTCCTACTTAATTGGGCATTATAATTTCCTAGGCATCCTTGAAAACCTCTGCCAAGGCTTACCAATTTCCATGTCCAGCTTTGGGGAGCAGCCTGTTCTCTCCCAGCCCACAGTACAAGCTTCACCTTAGCGAAGAAAAGCAGTTTTCTGCTCCAAGTATTTAGCTTTTGTGATGAGAACATCTCTTTCTTAGCCACCCTTTTGCCCCCAGTGATATTCTCTCTATATTTTGATATTAATGTTTTTCTTATTGATATCTGCAGGTCCCGGATTAAAGTGCATTCCTGCTAAACAGACCTCCAGCCTTATTCCCACCACTTAATGTACTCTCTGCTGTGCCTGGGAGTTACAATCCCCCCTTGGCACAGCTTTGCCCTTTCGCCTGCTTTTTCACTTGGGCAGTGATTTTACACTCCAGTTCCTTTTGGATGAACAGCCTGTAAGATGCACAGAACCGGTTTTCCCGCTGAAATATTTCTAGTCTCGGGCTCTAAGCACTCTACTGTGATCCTCTGAGCAGGCTCAAGGTTTCTTGAGGGATATTATTCCTGGGCATCAATACCAGAGGACAGGTTATTTTGACTTTGTGCCTGACGTGAGGACCACGAGTTCCTCCCTGCTGATGCCATTCAGGAGGTCAGTGCTCCGGCATCAGAACGATCAGCAGAGAATTAACAGCTGGGTAACAGATAAATGAGTTCATCCTCGTCTATGCGAGGGGAATGATGCTTTGTGACACCTACAGATCATCTGCAGATCGAATTTGCAGAGTGCTGCAGCAAACAGCGGCATGGCTGCTGCTTCTTGCCCTGCCTTCTCATTTTACAGCAACAACCCCCTCGGATAAGAGCCCTGCTCTTATACTGCTAAACACGACCGGCGAAGGGCTGAGCTGGGTTAATGCGTATTGCTCCGTTCCTTTAAAACACCCGAATCCATAGTTTCCCGAGGTTCCCGAGTGCCAGGCTGCAGGATGCCGGCGGTGGCTGATGCCCGGCAGCTCTGCAGCGCGGGCACGCAATGCGATGCGCCGCCTCCCCTCGGGAAATCATCCGGTGCGGGCGGCGTTGGAGAAGAAGTGCTGCCCGCAGACAGGTCTGCACACAAAAGCGGGAGCACCATGGAAACTGCCGGAGAACAAAGGAGACGCACAAAGCCGTGCCGGGACCTGCGAGAAATGTCCGAAATACTTCTCTGTGCCTCAGCCCCCACCGCGCCAAACTCAGCTATGACCGCCCAGGGATTTCAGCGGGGTCAGGGTTTCGCTGCCTCACCCTCTGATACAAAAAAATTGGGAATCGTGACAAGCAGATTTTGCAGAGAATTGTGTTTTCCATCTCCAAGGTGATGGTGTAAAGTAGGGCAGCCTGCGGGGAATACACAGAAAAAGCATTTACTCCTCAGCAAGGACTGGAAAAGAGCCTACTAGAAGGGATAAAAAGTAGGAGTTAAAAGACATGCTTTGCACTCCAGAGACTCAGGGGCTGTTTGAGGCAACTTTCAGTGTCTCTTTATCCACTTTTTTTCCCTCTTCCCTGGGTGCCAACTGCTGCTGCTGCTGGAGGTGAGTGCCGAGCTCAAGGAAACCTCAGTCCCACTGGGTATATGGCTGCTTTGATTAGTTCTTCCTTTTAACATCTGCTGTTAAAGCAAATTAGATGAAGATTTGGCTGAGACAACTGCACGGAGTGTTAGCAGCACATTCCAGCTCAGAGAGCCCACACTGTACCCTTTTCCTTAGTGGTTGTAGCAGACCCTCCAGCAGGATTTGGACTGTACTGGCAGGAGGCTGACACAGCGTGCCCAACACACATCTCCTTACATTCAGGAACAGCTGAAACATGGTGTAACAGCAGTTTTGGGGCTGGGACTTCTGCTGGATAACAACAGTATTTACTCCTACGTGGTATTTAGTTACATTTTGATGCCCCTGATAAGCACCAGGAAACAACCTCTAGCAATTCCCACAGTGCTTGTAAGGATGTCAGAAAGCCATGGCGTGACACTGCCAGTTCTTTTTCCTCCTCAGTGGCTCCAAGTCTCGGTGACAGATGAATACAAAACAGATGGGATGGTGGCAGAACCTCATCAGATGGACCTGATGGGCCTCAAGCTGCCCGTGCTATGGCATAGATTAGTGTCATGTAATGCTGGGCTTTGTATTTTGATATTGAAAGCCATGCAGTGGCTTCAATCTTGGGTCTTGTCCTGTCCTTATGTCAGGATCCTCATTTTGATTTTCTGTAAAAGATAGATTTGGGAAGCTGTATCTTCCTTTCTGTGTATCAGCTTTCTGTGCTAAGCTTTGAAACAGCAAAAGAGGCTTTTCTACTCTGGGAAAAGGCCTTTTGAGTTGCTGCATTTAAAAACCAGACCAAAAACTCTAATTCGGTCCAAACCAAGTATTTGGTCTCACTAGATTTCTGTCATGTGTGCTTCTCAGATTGCTGTTATCTCCCATGTATTTAACAGCCATACCAATTTAGAAATATCTTTATTTGGCCATAGCAACACATCTGACACGTTTAGTCTGAGAGATCCCTGCGAGCTCGTCTCTGAGCATCCACAGCAGAGCCATGGCACTGAAAAAATAACATCTTTTCCTTCTGACATAATTGCTCCTTGCCTTTTCCACAGCACACACGGGATGTTCCCAAGGGACACTGCAGTCACACTACCCAGTCAGCTTGCTGAGGCCAAGAATATTAGTCATGCTCTCCATGACCCTGCAGCCCCCCCAAAAGGGTCTGTCCTGACTCTGCACAGAGCCACCAGGTCACTCTCTCCATCACAACTGGCTCAGGAAACATCTTGGTGAATGCCAAAAAACTGGGAAGCTCCTCTCATTGGGAAGCAGAGCTACTTGGTCAAAGTGATGTTGTCTGATGGGTTTGGCAGATCAGTCCCTCTCAGGACGTTCCTGGTCTGGCTTCAGGCATGATGCAAACCCAGGAGAACAGCTCCCCTGCGGTACCTTGTCACTTCTGATCCCCATCACGGCTAAAACCAGACAGTCCTGAGACACGAGGAAAAAAAAATTGTTTTCAAAATTAACCCCTTGAACCTGGGTCAGGACCTCTCTGGATGAGGCAGCCACGGAGATTTGGAAAGGTGGTGATGGCCCGTGTCAGAACCACCGTGGTGAGACAGGTTGATTAACATCTGCCCACGCAGCAGGACACACTGTCTGCCATCCAGCAGCCTTCCCTCTGGGAGAGTGGAGAGAAACAACATTTTCTGGGCAAGCAAGCTGTCTTTCCAGCACAGCATGCCAGGAGAACATTACAGAAAACATTCCCTTTCTCCCAGCCTTGCCCACCACCAATTTCAGCAGGAATACCTCCATTTCCCCCCATAAACTGCCATCTCACATCCAAAGTTCTTGTCTCATATACAATGTGACCACACAGAGCATTAGCTCTCATAGCCATGACTCCTCATTATGGAATCTCCTGCCATCCCTTTCCAACAACAGCTCCTCAGGAAGCTCCCTGAGGAAGGACTCACTCTTCTGCATGCACCATTCAGCTACCAGTTGCTGTAATGTATTTGAATATTCCTTAAAATTGTTGCTTTTGCACAAAGGATGATTGTATATATGTAATTATATATATACAATTTAGGACAAAATTAACATGGAGTTCCCAACCAGCAAAGCAATAGAGTAGGAGTTAAGGAGAGTGGGAGACACTATCCCGCTTCCCTAAAGGCAAGATTCCAACCCAGCCACAAGCAGAGCCAAAACACTTGGATAATAAATGGAATATAAAGTACAGCACAGGAGCTGTAATCAGGACACCTGAAACAGGGGATGGTGCCAAATTCAGGCTTAAAAGCTGCAAAACAGCTCTGCGTGTGTCTCCCTGCTGGAAGCTGCAGATGACCCACTCTGCCACTGCAGCTGTACCTATATATAGTTATGAGAGATTTGGCTATAAAAATACATCTATAGATACAGTGTAAGCCCAAATAGGCTACACAGCTGCATGCTTCAACACCCAAATAATTTAAAACATTTTGGCCTGATTCTAATAATATTATTCTGTTTTTTCCACCAGTGTAAGAGCGTGGCAAAGGACCTGGATAAGGAAGGTTTCAGGTATGCTCATGGTCAGGAGGTTCAAGAGAGAGTTCACCTTCAATTCCCACAGCCAGTGACAAAGAGAAAAGGAATGGGCATCAAAAGTTCAGGGAAGGAAAGGATGAATCAATAAGAATAAAAATTAATTCCCTCTCGCTTAAGTTTTTCAAGAGACTCACTGTGTTTTTTCCACAGTTCTGCTTCTACACCAAAAATCACTTCTGGTGTAAAGGCAGACCTGAACCAACAGGTCACATAAACTTTGTGCTCATGGAGAAGGTTTTCCAGGCTAAACCTTGTAAGAAGTTACCTACTGAGCACCAGACAAGATGGGCAAGGTCTGAGAGAGCAGCTGGATTCCCAAAACACTCAAACAAATACACAAAGCACCAGGTAAAACTTTTCATATCAGAACCACGTTTCAGTGTATGTGGGAAAGGAAACAAACACCAGCCACGGTGAGGGAAAACAAACCAAAAACAAAGGAGAAAATTGCACAAAGCAGGGAGGCCAAAAGGTATTCAACCGTGCCTGTGCCTGCTCCATCCATTATTCACAGGGTGGGAGAACTGGACCATCCCTTCTCCCAAGAGATGTACCTGGCTTTATCTGTGCCATCAGCCAAACAGACTGGATGCCACAGTGCCCTCAGCTTTGTGTTGTGCCCGCAGCCCAGATCGGCTGGAGCAGCTTTGCCCTCTGCTGGTCCCACGGGGCCCCTCAGCCCATCCTGGGCAGGAGCCTCTCTGTCACCCCTCGGGGCTGCCACCCCCACCCCCAGCCATCCCCAGGATGACTCCCCAGAGTGCCTTAGTCAGGGAACAGCCTTAGTTAAAAACCTGGAAAAAAAGAGTAAAACCGACCCTCTGAATTCCACGGAGCCGCAGGCCAGAGAGGTAGAAGGGGCAGTTGAACGACCTTAATTAAATCACACCACGCTGGAAGGCTTTCCCCATCCCACTCACGACTCCTGATTGCATTCCAAGTCCTTTCTTTAGCCCAAATCACCGGGATTGCACGCTGCAAGGAAACATTTGGAAACAGCATTCCTGGCAGGCAGCTACCGCTGAGGGGTGCACGGGGCCAGGGAAGAGAATCCCCACGGCAGGAATACAGGCAGCCCCTCCGCCCAGGGAGACACCCAAGGGGCCAGGGCTGCTTTGTCCCACCCCCGTACCCCTCTCCCAGTTGTTTTCCCGCTCGGATGTTTGTTTGGTTCCACTAAAAAAACGCCGTAAAAAGGCGATAAAAGCGCAGCCGACGTTTGTCCGGCACAAAACCGGTTACCCGGGCAACGGGAAGCAAAGCTCTCCCAGATTCTCCGGCTTGTTTTTCCCCTCGTTTTGCAGGGATTGGTGCGACTTGGGTGACGGCTGCATGTGCCAGGGAGGGATGAATAGGAGAGCTGGCCTGGCTCTGCTGCCAACCAACAAAAACTCGTGTGCTGCCAAGTCCCCGGAGAGCTGGCGACTTCCTCACACCCATCCACAGCGACTTGTAGGTAACTGCATTACCCCCTCACTCAGGCACATCTCAAAGTCACCCAAGCATACCTGATCTAATTACTTTTCCAGCACTGTGCAGCATTATTCCCATGATTTAATCGTGCCTGGGATCATTAGACACCATGGTACCCTTAGGAAAGCAATTATGACACTGCCCTATGTTGTTTTCAGGGGCGTGGGCAGGCAAGTGCCTTTGTCATCTGTCAGAGGGTAATTTTCTAATTTCATTTGGAGCTTCTCTAGAAAAAGATAATTTACTTACCTGCTGGCTTTCAAGGATGCCTTAAAGCCTGTTTAAACTAGTGTACTGACTACATCTTGGGGGAAAAGAAACCCCAAAACACCAGGATTGGCTGTGTAAAATAAAACAGGTAGAACAGCCTCACTCCAGGTGACAGTAAGATGAGGACAATTGAACTTCAACATTAACACAGGGTGCAAAATCAAATTTAAAAAGGTTTTTCTACACTGCAGAGGCAGGCAGGAGGGGCAAAGCATCATGTTCTGTGCTACTGAAAACCTGCAGGTCCAGGAATCCCGGGATATCAGGCAGGTGTTCCACCAAAACCAGTCCTGCTGCTGCCACGCAGAGTCTGCAACTCGTGGGAGAGAAGTAGAAATATGAGTGCTAAAAATAATATCAGATTCAGCCCCGTGCTGGGTCACAAAGAGCAAAAAAATCGATGCTGGGTTCTGCTCCAGGCAGATGGATGTGGAATGATGTTCTCTCAAAACAGTCGGGGGAGGCAGAAAAATCAGCAAAACCAAATGAGCACTCCAAGGTTAGGAATTCCTATAATTTTGCAGTATCATCCTGAATTGTTAAGTAAAAGTGTATTTCTTGGGGAAAAAAAAAAAAGGGAAGAGTCACTGTGGGAAGTTCCTAGAGGTGAAATATGAATAATTTTTAGGGATGCAAGTCTTGGGAGGGTAAAACTCAATAGCTGGACTCCTCAGCATATGATGGGGAAGGATAACAGCAGCAAAAATTAACTGTCACATGCATTTAAAGATAAAAAACCACACAAACCATTCTGGCATCCTTGAGAATCCAAGGTTTTGTAAAAGCATCTAGACCATCCTCTCCGTTCCTGATTTATGAATTAAGAGCAAAAATGCTGTTATGAACTTCTTCAGGAAGTGATAAACACCGACTGTCCTTCCCTGCTGAAGCAGATTGCTGCACTAGTTTGGAAAAGGAGAAAAAGAAAACTCATGTTGAAGTGTAAGGAATTATCCTGCATAAATATGGAAAGGGACAGAAAGGGTGACTTCTGTGTGTTAAAGTCAGAAAATATTAATACAAGACCAATAACTCCCAGACTTGGGCTTTTGCAGTTCAGTTCCACTCTCCACCACACATAAAAAGTCTGAATCATTTATGAACTGAATTATTTATAACACGGATATATTTTTGACTCAAATGAACTTCAGCAGCAAAATCCCAAACATTTTACCCAGAGCAAGTTTTTGGGTTTAATTTTTTCCCCTTCACAGAAGTGGAAAAAGAAAACAAACTGTCTTTTAGCAGGATAATGAGAAAAAAACATTAATGGATCAATTCTTTTCATAGGTAGGTATGAAAATGACTTTTTATGTGTCATCAAATATCTTACCCACCTAGGATGGGAGGAGTTCAAGATTAAATAATAATAATAAATAAAAAATGCTGCGATTGGACTAAACACTTGAATATTGCAGGAGTCCACAGGGCAGTGCCTGGGTTAGTTCTTAGCCTTCCCCCACCTTTCCCCTGGGAGGAATCCCCCACACACCAATTCCAAGAACCATCAGCAAGCTCTTCCCCTCCAGCCCTTCCAGCCCTTTTGTTCGTCCCTTATCTTGCACTTTTCCCCCCTGGATTCCTGCTATCTCCAGCCTGATCGCTGCTGTTCCCTCTCCATTGAGTCGTGCTAATCCTCTCCATTCACTCCCTCCCTGCCAGCAGGGCTGAGTCACTCACAAGTGCAGCCTCGTGTAGAATTCCAGTTCTACCTTCAGGGATTTTTAAAATATTGCCAGTCTCCCATGAAATACTTGAAAGCCATTAAAATCACCTTCTTAACCTGTGAACTACCCGACTTTTAACACTTATCTGCAAATGAGAACTACTTCTGGAGCTAGAGCAACCACAGGTATCAAACAAAGATATTATTTCTTCCACCGAAGATTCTTCTAAAA